GATGAAATGATATCGTATGTCAATGTGCTTAGTTCTGGAGTGAAACATTGAGTTATTTGCCAGATGTATTGCACTTTGACTGTCACTGTGCAAGACACTCTCTTTTTGAGTGAAACCCAACTCTGCTAACAATCCTTGAAGCCATATCAATTCTTTACTGGCTTCTGTCACTGCTACATACTCAGCCTCTGTAGTGGATAGAGCAACAATCTTTTGTATCTGCGACATCCAACTAACAGCTGTAGCTCCAACAGTGAAAACATAACCGGTGGTGCTTCTTCGGTGATCAACTTCACCTCCAAAGTCTGCATCTACGTAGCCCTGTAACTTTAGATCTCCTTTTCTAAAGTACAGACATTTTTCTGTTGTGCCCCGTAGATATCTCAAAATCCATTTGACTGCTTCCCAATGAACTTTTCCTGGATTTGACATAAACCTGCTAACAACTCCCACTGCATGGCCAATGTCTGGCCTCGTTCAGACCATCGCGTACATCAAACTTCTAATGGCCGAAGCATAAGGAATCTTAGTCATGAACTCTTCTTCTTCCTTTGTTTGAGGAGACTGATCCTTGGATAGACGAAAATAGCTGGCCAAAGGTGTACTGACTGGTTTGGCCTTGTCCATATTAAATCTCTGCAAGACACGGTTGATGTACTCTGCTTGAGATAACTGCAAAACTCCCTTTTGCTTATCTCTCGTGATTTGCATTCCAAGGATCTTCTTTTCTGGGCCTAAGTCCTTCATGTCAAATTCTTTTGACAACTGCATCTTCAATTTTCTGATGTCTTTCATATCTGATCCTGCTACTAACATGTCATCGACATAAAGTAGCAAAATGATATAGCTAGACTCATACTTCTTAAAGAAACAACAGTGATCAGCATTGCACTTCTGGAAACCTTCCTTGTGCATGAAGCTTTCAAACTTCCTATACCACTGTCTTGGAGCTTGTTTCAGGCCGTACAAGCTCTTCTTCAATTTGCACACCATATCCTTCTTTCCTTCTGAAAAACCTTCAGGCTGGTGCATATAGATCTCCTCATCTAGGTCTCTGTGAAGAAATGCAGTCTTCACGTCTAATTGCTCTAGGTAGAGCTCTTCACTAGCCACAATACTTAACACAGTCCTGATAGTATTAAGCTTTACAACTGGAGCAAAGATTTCAGTATAGTCAATTCCTTCTTTTTGCTGAAATCCTTTGACAACCAGTCGGGCTTTGTATCTCCTGGAACCATCATGGTCTTCCTTCACTCGATACACCCATTTGTTATGAAGTGCTTTCTTTCCCATAGGTAACTTGACTAGTTCCCATGTCTGATTCGATATCAAGGACTTCATCTCGTCCTTCATGGCAAGCTCCCACTTGCTAGCATCCGTGGTTTGACAAGCTTCCATGTAACTTTCAGGCTCCCCTCCATCAGTTAGCAGCATGTAGTCTATGTATCTCCTGTTAGGTACATGGGGCCGAGAGGACCTTCTCAATACAGGAGCCGGAGTAGGAGGTTCTGATTGCACATCACTTTCTTCATTTGATTCCTCTGACTCAGGACTCCTCATTATAGGACTGTCTGGGATATCTTCCACCTCAGCATAAACTGGCTCACTCGCTTCTGAGTTGCTGGCACCTGTATTATGCCGGTCCTTGTACATCACTCTTTCATTAAAGATGTCATCTCTGCTGCGGATCATCTTTTTATTTTCATCATCCCATATGCGGTAGCCAAACTCATCTTCACCATAACCAAGGAAAGTACATTTCTTTGATTTTGGATCAAGTTTGTTTCTACCTTGATCACTGATGTGCACATATGCTACACACCCGAAAACTCTAAGATGTGAGAGTTTTACTTCTTTTCCGCTCCATACCTCTTCTGGTAACTTGTGATCCAGTGGTACCGATGGACTTCGGTTGATCAAGTAAGTTGCTGTGGTGACTGCTTCTGCCCAGAAATGCTTTGGTAGGCCTGACTCTGCACACGCAAGCTTCTGGCTCTTTCAGTCAACGTTCGATTCATACGCTCAGCTACACCATTGTGTTGTGGCGTACCAGGCACGGTTCTCTCCATTCTGATCCCGTGCTCATAGCAAAACTTCTTGAATCTGGTGGTTACATATTCACCACCATTGTCGGATCTGAGCTTCTTGATCGTCAAGCCTGTCTCATTTTCCACCATAGCTTTCCAAATCTTGAAAGCTTCAAATACTTCTGACTTGTGTTTCAGAAAGTAAACCCATACCTTTCTGGAGTGATCATCGATAAAAGTCACGAAGTATTGCTTCCCACCAACGGATAGGACAGTGGTTGGACCCCAAACATCAGAGTGGACGAGCTCAAGTTTCTCCTTCTTTGGAGTTCTTCTACTTGTTTGAAAGCTGACTCTTTTCTGCTTTCCAAGTATACAACCTTCACACATGTCAATTTCTATTGACTGGAGGCCTGGTAATTTTCCTTTTGAGTGAATGATCTTCATCCCTTTTTCACTCATATGCCCAAGTCTTTGGTGCCATAGATTGGGAATTTCATTTGCTGCAACTGCAATCAGATGACATGCTCCTGTTGTCTTGTAAAGAGTACCACTCTTTTTGCCTCGAGCAATTGTCATCGCACCCTTTGAAATCTTCCAATCATCATCATGGAAGATTGTCGTGTAGCCTTCACTGGCTAGCTGGCCCACGGAGATTAAATTCTTCGTCAGGTCGGGAATATGTCTAACATTTTTCAATTCTCATACAGACCCGCTCAGCTTGATTTTTATTGCACCTTTCCCTACAACCTCACATGATTGCTCATTACCAAGGTAAACTTTACCAAGGTTACCAGGAACATAATTCTCGAATAGTTCCTTCTGTGAGGTAGCATGAAAGGATGCTCCAGAGTCTAACACCCAAGACTCATCCTTGTTCTCTAAAGAACATATCAGCGAATCTCCTCCAGAGGCTGAAGCAATATTTGCCTCTTCTTTTGCCTCCTGACCCTTCGGTGCACTCTTAGTGCCCGGTCTTCCCACAATTCCAACACTCGATCAACTTCGAGGTTTGGGAACTACGATGATTTCTGGACTTGGATCTTCTTCCTTTTGATTTGTTGTGTCTGCTTTCTTTGGTTGAACTTCTTCCTCTTGATTCTGTATGCAATACAGAAGAGGTCGATGGTTCACCCGACTCTCTCCGCCGGATCTCTTCACTGAGAACCAAATTTTGGACATCATCAAATCTCAACTTATTGTTTCCCGATGAGCTACTCACAGCCGTGACCGTAGCGTTCCAACTTTCTGGTAGGGAAGACAAAAGTATTAAAGCCTGTACTTCATCATCGAACTCGATCTCAACTGAACTCAACTGTGTTGTAACGGTGTTGAGCTCATTGAGATGATGTGCTACCGAAGCACCTTCGGTCATCCGCAGGTTGAACAATCGCCTCATCAAATGAACTTTATTTGAGGCTGATGGTTTCTCGTACATGTTGGAAAGAGCCTTCATGAGGCCTGCTGTCGTCTTTTATTTTGCAATGTTAAAAGCAACATTACGGGATAACGTCAGCCGGATGGCTCCAAGAGCTTGTCTGTTAAGGAGACTCCATTCATCCTCCTTCATGTCCTCTGGCTTCTTTCCTGTGAGTGGTTGATACATATTCTTTTGGTACAGATAATCCTCGATCTGCATCTTCCAAAAGCCAAAGTCCGCACCATCGAACTTTTCAATTTTCATTTTTCCTTCGTCTGCAGCCATCACTTCGACTCTGATCTGACTTCTCTGCCGGATCGTTTCTGTAATTTTTGTGAACTACCGTGTTTCAGAACACGTCGGTAGATAAATTTGTAGCGCCGACAAATTTGACACTATTCACGTTTTTCACTATTCACGGAATAGTAACCCACACAAAAAAAATTACAGAATTAACAATCTGGCTCTGATACCAGTTGTTGGGAAAAATACGTTGAATTTTCCATGAAGTCGGATCTATAAAAGTGAAATAAAAATAAAAATTGGACACACCAAATTGATAACGGAGTTCGGCCAATAATGTCTACGTCTCCGGACTACTGCAGATATTTTATTGGGAAAAAGAAATACACTCGTGTTTACAAAACACTCTCAAACTCACTCACAACTCGCAACTCAAATACACACATAAGCTAAATTTTTATTAGCTCGCTCTCTCTTTCTCTTCTCTTATGTTTTTCTTTGGTGTTTGGTATTTTGTTGTGTTGTATTTCTCTGCACCTTAGTTCCTCTATTTATAGCTGAGGAATGAACATAAATTGCTCACGTTCAGCAGCTTAAATTAAAGGCTTTCACACCTTCACCAACCATAATTAAATGCCTTCACATGCATTTGGTTGCTATCTTCAACAAAAGGCTGCTGTAGGCTTCTTCTTTTTTTTTTCAATTATGGTGGCGCAGCCTGCCACCAATTTTTGACTCAACATGCTCGACCTCCACGAGTCTGGCCGACTCACGCTAACCAGAGGGCTTTCATCACCCCGTCGGTTCTGAAGGATGTCGACCTTTCCTAGTTGAGGGGCAAGGCCAGCTTTGTGCCCTGAGTTAGGATTTTCGCTTCCTACCCCGGGGGCATTCACTGGCCACCAGCAGGTTGTGTGGGGGATTACTGCCAGAGCATACTTATGGGTCTCCGGCTTCCCCTACCCGACGCTTTGAACGACATACTTTGTGAGGTCGGCATCGACATTAGTCAACTGGTGCCGACAATCTTTGTGAGATTGATCGCGCTAATCGTCCTTTTCCAGAAGCAAGGCTGGTCGGATCCCACCGGGGACGAAGTAAGGGCTTTATTTGCCTTCAAAAATTTTTGGTGATTTACACAACTTTCATATGGTATATCTTAGGTATTTCTACACATATTATATAAAGGTTCTTTTAATATTTCTAGACATGGTTTTAAGTAATTTGCACAAGTTAAATTTCATGTTGCATTATCCATAATTTAATGCAAGTAAATTATTACATTTTGACTATATATTTTAATTTATAAATATTATTGACCAACACAAGATTCATACTAGTGCACTCAAACATGGATTAATAAACATAAGTACAGAGAAAATGACAGTCCTGTTTCTTTTCATCTTCTTAAGAAACTAGACTAATTCACTTACATGGGCCAAACATTCTAAGAAAAAAATGTTGACACTGACCAAATCTAACAGAAAACAAAGCAAGAGGGTATACATTGAAAGACAAGGGGTGATCATCATACTAATATTAGAAGACACTGCCTTAAAAGCAAACAATTTTCCATGTTTTTCCATTTTGCCAACTTCTCATGGGCATTTAGAGTTTCTCCCAGGACCTCCGTAGTAAAAATAGCTTCCCCAATCATCATTACTCTCTGTTTTGACACTGTAGCAGTTGGATTGCTCGGTGTAAGTCCCGAGACCTTTGGGAGATTTAAGGTTGTTTGAGCTGTCGACCACTTTAATGTTCCTGAAATAGCTCGACTTTCCGAACCCTTCTTCTGGGAAGCGGCCACTTCCCATTTGAGTCGTAGTGTGCTGGCCGTTGGGCTGCGAATTTACTATTTCGCCCCCCCATTCTATCATCGATGCACTGTCTCCCAAATAGGAGAACAAGAAAGAAGGCCAATAACCCATCACATTATTATTGCCATATTGCATCCACCAGTGTCCCTCTTTTGGGTCCTAAAATAAATAAATAAAAAATGGAAGAATCTCTGGATCAGGAAAAACAATGATGGCATATTGACTGCTTCTATTATTCAATCATGTTGTCATTTACTCTTCATTCTTTCAGCAAGATAAGATATCTACTTATTTATCCACAGTTTGAGTAGAATAAGGATAGTGAATGAATGAAGGAATGATTTTTTTTTTTACCTTCCAAATAAGAATGCTAATATCATACTGCGAGTTTCGATAGGAAGAAACAGGAGAAATGCTGGCACCCATTGCTATTTGACTGTTGACTTGAATGAAGCCAGAGCAAAGAAGGTTGTAGCAACCTGTGGCTTGATATGCATCACTCTGCCAATATTCACATTCATAAAATGAAATCTTTTAGCAGTAGGATAAGGTAAACTAAACACCAGATTAATATTAGAGCTTACTGTCCAATAAGTGAAGAGTCTTGTGTTGTTGTCTCCATAGAGATCCGGGCTGACCTGAAATCATGTGCTTCCATAAATTATACTCCATCTATGCCATAAATATAACTCTGCATATATTCATCTTGTTTAATGTGTGCACACAAAATTACAACATTTTAGCCCAACATTTTACATCCTAAGGGGTAAAAACTCTTCCACTCTCGTCTCCTTTATTCAGAATTGTTTGCACCCAACTTACAGTTTTTACTATTAGGGAAAAATACCGAATTAAGCTACTTTGTTTTAAAATTCACCATCGGCCATCACCTCATGACGCCATCTGGCACCCAGGTAATTGTGTTGCTTTTCGTCTTCTGTTTCTGTAATATTTAGTTACTATTCATTTTATTTTTTTAATTGTTTTAGTTATTATCTTTATTTTAATTTTATTTTCCCTATTTTCTTTTTCTTTAAGTTTATTTTATCTTCTATTTCTAATGTTATTTTCTGTGTTCCAATGTTATTTTTCAGGTGCTTATTTTCAAGTATTTGACTATTTCTTTGATCGAACTTTGTGTTTCTTTATATTTTCCTTGGTCGTGTATTTGCTAAAGGCGTGTTATATAGGTGTGACTTGTGCTCTTACCTTCTTGGGATATTTGAAATTGAGGTTTGACATTTTCATTTAAACTTAAATATGTATTACAGCATGTCAAAACGAATATCAAAGGGAGGTACTTTCTAATTAACACTTAATGTCATACTAACAATTGTACTTGCAACATCTTTCCTAAATTGAGGTGACCAATAATATGGTAGAATAATATACCTGCCAGCCAGCTTCAATGCTATTAAGGTCCTGACCGAATGATCCACCCAAGACCCAAATTTGAGATAAACTGAATTCATTAGGCTGCTGTATTTTGGGTTCCCAAACGTTGATTGTTGCTTTTGCTCCATAATACTTGTCCCCTTCCACATATGCTATAGCATGCTGTTTTCGAAATAAACTACTTAAGCAAATTACAACTTCACACCATGCAAAAGTTACACAAAAGCTTGTGGAAGACCGCCTCTCAGTTACAAGCCAATACTAACACTTCAAGTATGATTAAGAGTACCGTTTTCTAGTCAAAAAGGATATATATCATTGTGCAGTCTTAAATTGATATTCAAAATATTGTTTTGGAACAGAAAAGTTTATCTTTCTCACATCCATCTTATCATGCAACTCAAAAGTCAAAAAGAAAAATGATATGGAGAATCCAAAAAATGCTTATCTTGATAAAAATAAAGTTCTCTATGGACTTTGTTGTCACATTGACTGATTTATGCATAAAAATTCCCCTTTTTACAGCTTTATCTCTATAATTACCTGATGACCACTTTGATTGATCATGTCTGGCTGTGCCGACTTGGGTTTGGCTATGGATTTTTGCTTCTTTTTTCCATAATTTCTGACAGAGCTTGCTCTCAGCACATCTTCTTTCTTTGTTCTCCTAATTGGAATAGTGCCATCAGAGCACATCCCATTCATATGCCAAAGCTGTGTTATCGGTTTTTCTCCTTCTTTAGGCACTGTTGACATTTTCTCTTCATCAAATAGTTCTTCAGGATGATAACTAGGCCTNCAGATTAATATCCTATACTGAGAGAGAGAGGGGTAAAAATAATATATACATAGACATAAACAAATTATTTAAAAATAAGTATTATAAATGGACCTGGATTTTATGGTCTTTGAGAAAAGGGTGATCAAAAGCTGGCTGATGAGAGATGTGGACACAGTCAATAAGGTCCCCATCTGGACTCTGTATGAAACAACCAAATGGTCAAACAGATGCCAAATAACAGGTAAATAACATGACTTTCAAGCACAACAATAACATTATTGAGAGAGAGAAAAATACATGATATCAAAAAATCAGTAGCTGAAACCTATTGAATGATTGAAGTGAAAAATTCAGTTTTGATACCTTAAGTTTCAATGCCGTTTGTTTTAGGCACCCCAAGTTTCAACTTAATCATCTTTTGTACACTAAAGTTCAACTTAACTTTCCAATCGTCGATTGTAATTATGGATCCATGACAATAGGCCGATCGAGTATCTACATATAAAGTATAAACTACTACTGCTTGAAAATTAAGGTACCAAAATGAAAAATAGAGTATCAAAATCGAAAAAGCCCACACACATACACACTAGCCACAAACTTTGCAAACAAAACTCGGTATTTAACAGCTGCCTGCAGAAATTAACCATGGAATGTAACATAAACGGAAATTTCAACACCAACACCACCACAAAAAGGATTAATTGAACCACAAAATAAAATCTTATAATGTTCATAATTATAAATGTATGGCAAGGTTAAAAACAAGTGCACACAGGTAAAAAAAACTATTTATTTACTAAAAATTGGAAAGAGAAATGGTGGTAGATGCAAGTGGACCTGAACGGTTTTAATGGGAAGCTTATTCAGTCTGTTCAAGTGCTTTTCAACTTTAAGTTTCTGCCTCGAAACAGGTGGCCTCCCGGCGGAGGACAGCGAGAAGCACAGAGCCCACAAGCATGCAAAGAACAATGCCACCGTCACTTTCTTCCCCCGGCGGCCATTACTAAAATGCGCGGCGCCCATATGAATTGCCCGACCACCAGCTCCAGATANAACTAAAAGGGAGGCCAAGAAAGATAAAGTTTCGACCTTTTGGCAAACCCGAGGCGTAGGTTAAAGTGGGAGCCCCAAGATTCACAAGACCACCATTGAAACCACAAAGAGAAAAGGAAAAAAATAAGAAAAATCTCGCCAGAGATGCTTAACCTACGCACCCTTAATTTTCTCTTCTCCTCTCTGTTTGGAGTGTCTTGTAGAGCTACTCGACTGAGAGTGAGAGAGACCCCCTTATTAGACTTTATTTTTCCTCAGTTGGGCAGATTCGAAAAAATCCAAGAGGTGCAGCAAAGACTGCTTCTTTACCTTTTCATTATTCGGAATTTATTTATGTATGCTGACTTTATAGAGTGTAGTGTGGTGTGAGAATATTTTAATCAAGAAATTGAAAGAGGGGTAAAATGGGGAATCGGAAGTGAGTGGGAAAGAAAGTTGAGAACTTTGACGGCCTCTCTCATCTCATCTGCCGACTGCAGCTCTCAGTCGTATCGCTGGGGCCCAAACCCCTGCACCATACACACTTTTCGGTTCGGCCTTTCGCGCTCAAATTCCAAGCTTACTTTACTAATTTGCCCCTAGTTGTAGTTGATAATGCCAATGGTCTAAGACTATAAAGTAATCATCATTCATCCCACCTTTATATTTTTTTCATCGTTTTTTTGTTTTTTTTTTTTGGGGAATAATATATTTATGTTAAATAAACTTTTGAATAATAAAGATTTAAGGTCATGATTTAATTGACCAAATAGAGATTGGTAGGTGATTATGGGAATATTCATGTTACTTGAAGTTGAATAACATGTATTGAGTGGAACGCTAAGCAGGGGCGGATCTAGCTCATAATATGAGCAGAGGCCTATTTGCTTATAGAAAACAAATATAATACATCATGATGAAGTATAAATACAAAATAGACATTTATAGAAATTCTTATGAGTTTTCATAGCTTGGTATGAGTCTACAATAAGGTATTTACAGTTTCTTTCAGCCTATCGATATTATAATTCACCTCAAGTATATTTGGAATAAAAGTAGCTAATTTTAAAATATTTTCACATGCATTTTTTTGTCAAGACTATTTGTAAGAGTATTTCTCCATAATTGGATATAAAAAATAAATTATAATGTATAAAATATTTTATCTTAAATATCAAACTTTTAAGAGTACTACAAGTTATCAGTCACACACAAATTTAAATATGTTAATAGTCTTTTAAGAAACAATATTCAATTAATTACAAGTTTAAATTTTTAATTTTTATATCAAATCTAATAAAAGAAATGACTACATTTACATTCACTAAAATAAACAAGAACAGTGATTTTTTTTTCTCATTATCTTTTTTTTTTTCCATTTTTGTGTCTCCATTGTTTTTCTATTTTATTTCATTTTATTAATTGAGCATTAAATTATTTTTTGAGTAGGGTATATGAGATAGTATTTTATTTTCCAGTGTGGGCCTAGGCCCACACTGGGCCCTATAAGGTTCCGCCGCTGACGCTAAGTGGCGATTGGTGAGAATTTGAAACTGATCAAAATCATTTTTGATTGAATCAGTTTTTTTAATTATTCTAACTCAAAATTTAACTAAACTCCATTATTTTCAATATTATCATTTTTCAAGCTATTAAATAATATAAATTACTAGTACGACACCTGTGTACTACACGGGTCCATGAAAAAATAATTTAAAAAAAAAAGTAAAAGAGTTTAGTTATTGTTTGTATATTAAAAATAAATAAATAGAAGTTTTATAAAACAAAAACTATTGTAGATTGGTATTTTGTTTCAATTTCTAAAAAACTTATCTGTACACAACATTATTAGTTCTACTTACAATTTTTTCATCATTGTCGCAGCACAACTTTGTAATAAATGTGGCATCCGTAAATCAAGAAGTTAATATTAATAAGATAAGGGACGTGTTTAGTTAAGATTTCATTAATTCTATTATCAATGTAATTATAATATATAACTTTAGTTCATTAATACGCAAACAAAGACACATGCTCGAAAAGGGATAAAATTTATCAACTTGAAAAAATAAAAAATAAAAATATAATGAATGGGCTAAAATTTATCAACTTGAAAAAGTAAGATAATGAATGATGATTAAGATAAGGGCGAAAATTTATGATAATTAAGATAAGGGACGTGTTTAGTTATGATTTTATTAATTATATTATCAAGATAATTATAATATATAATTTTAGTTCATCATTATTCATTACTCAAACAAAGAAACAAACTAAAAAATGGGCTAAAATTTACCAACTTGAAAACATAAAAAAATATGATTGAATGGGATAAACCATTAATAAAATGAAATAAGGAAAGAAAGATTTGTGTGATCTTTAAATTCACAACAAATTTAGTAATGAAAGATGGAAGGCAATAATGTATGGTGGAAAAATTATTTATGGTGCTTTTCCAAACCAATATTGTTTCCAAATTTTTTATCAGAACCTAAATCAAAACATGATATTGTGATATGTAGGATTCCAAAGCATGCGAGCATGCTACTTAGTCTTAGCACATCTATACTTATATAAAAAAAAATTACTATTTACTAAATATAGCAAGCAAAACAAATTTCAAAATTTCTAAATAAGGAAGGGATAGAAGTTTAAATAAAATATGGTTGCTTTAACAAACTTATAGGGAAAACAGAAAAAAAAAATAAAAAAAAATCTTTAATTCAAATTCAATTGTTAACAATTTTCTAATAATTTTCATGCAAATCTTTAATTCAAATTCAAATGTTAACAATTTCCTAATAACTTTCCTACAAAATTGCCCGCATAAATAATGATAGACATGAAATTTAGCAGTATTCAAAAGTTAAGGAGTAATTCAAATTGTGGGGAATTTAAAATGGTACGAGTTTGTATCATTCATTTTAGTAAAAAAAAAAAACAAAAAAACTTAAATGAATTTTATTAAAAAATTAACTTCATTTAATTAACTTGCACTAATTATACCGTCCATGCAAAGAAAAAAAAAACACAATTATATTTATGCAATTAAAAAAAAGTGTATGCTACAACATTGGATATTAATCCATACATAATAGGTACTCACTTAATAAATCTTCACCACATCATTTGTTGGAATAAAAAACTTAATAACGAAAAAAAAATAAAAAAAATTGGGACTATGTTTTACTTGAAAGACTATCAACATGTGTACAGATTTTTAAATTCATTTTCAAATTGAAACTTTAAATTCGTACTCAAATTGAATTGAATAATATAATTTAATTAGAACTGTAGGAGTTTCTTTGAAAAAAACTATCAAGCAATTTGCATTGATTTTCAAAAACAGATAAATACTGATTTCTAAAATTATGGGGATTGTTTACTTGATATAGATTATGACCACGTGTACAGTTTTTAAAATCATTATGAAATTCAAATTGGAATAATATGATTTAATTAGAATTGTAGAAGTTTGTTAAGAACAAAAACTCTCTGTGAGTTTGCATTGATTTTCAAAAACAAATAAATACGGATTTCTTTTATAAAGAAATCATTTATTCGTATTTCATCATAAATCTCAAATATGTGTGTTGTTGATACGTGTTTGAATAAAAATCTTAATAACAACGAGATTTTAAAATCATTACATAAAATTGATAAATGAAGTATATGCAGCGTAGAATTGTTAAGTCTCCGTTTATTTTATACATTTGAAGACAAATTTTGATAATGAGATTTTAAAATTATTATATAAAATTGATAAATGAAGCATATGCATAAATCATGGAGTTATTAAGCCTCCGTTTATTTTATACTCAAATTGATGACGAAATAATTTTCAGTACCATCTCAATATTTATTTTATATATAATATGTAAATCTTCTCTCAATTTTAATATTTTAGCCATAAATTTTTTATATTCTTTATATACGATAATTTTATATTGTTACAATAGACTATATAAAGTAAATTTTATCACATGTAACCCCACATCTTTAAGTTATAATTATAGTTAATATTGCTTATCCTGATATTTAATTTATAATTATTATTAGTATTATTTTTTTTTTTTTTGGTATAATGAAAGAGGCCATAAGCCTATATTAGGACTCAACGAGGATACGACACTTCAATAATATCATGCTCCAACCAAACTCCCAGAACAGAAGGCGGGGAACCTACTCGCTGAAGGTTGGGATTATTAGTATTATTTATCCGTGCAAAGCACGGGCTACACACTAGTTTGAATTAATATATAAGAGGAATTCCTCTCCTACACCACATCAACTTTAATTCACTATTCATCTACTCACATATTTTAACTACCTATCACTTTTATCATCTCTCTCTTACATTTACATCACATCAACTTTAATCATAAAATTTTAAATATTATTGAATTACAATCTCTCTCATCTCACTCAATCAAATTTTTATTCAAAATAACTTACTTTAGCTCATGATCAATTTTGATCGATTATAATTGGTTTTGACTGCTTAGCAATCGTCTTCTAATATATGTGATTTAATTCGTTAAGAGATTATAAGCTAATTTTATAATAATCTTATATAAGGTAGATGAAAAAGTTTGATTGTAATATTTATGTCAGAACCTGATTATTAATTTAAATTATAGTTTTAGAATTTTTACTTTTTATTGTTTTTCTTGCGTAATAATGTATAGTGGATTTTTTGTGATTTATTTACTTATGTTTATTTCTATTAACGTATTATATTTATTTCGTCGCACATTTGACATCTAAATAAAACCGACACTATTATAATCTAGTACTTGATGCTCTAATTATTTAGTCTATGAAAATACGGTCTTGTGTATCACTTAATATGCGTACACTTACTTTTAAGCTTTAAAAATTCAGTAAAAAACACAGGTGATGTGGAACTCCTCATTGGATCGGAAATATAAAGATCCAGAACCGATTGGGCTCCTGAAAATGACCTTCACGAACCTGCAAAACACGTCGGGTGTGTTTCTGGCAGTAAACTTCTGACGCTCAAGTCAATAAAGGATATCAAGAAAATGT